CAAGTAGGTTCAACTTCCTCAGAGGGCTTTGGAGGCTGAGCTGGGGCTTCCTGCTGGACTGAAGAAGGTTCAACTTCCTCAGAGAGCTTTGGAGGCTGAGCTGGAGCCTCTTGGGAGACTGGAGAATGTTCAACCTCCTCTGAGGCTTTGGAGGCTGTGCTAGGACTTCCTGCCAGCCTGGAGAAGGTTCACACTCCTCAGAGGGCTTTAGAGGCTGAGCTGGGGCTTCCTGCTGGACTGGAGAAGGTTCAACCTCCTCCCAGGGCTTTGAAGGCTGAGGTGGGGCTTCCTGCTGGACTGAAGAAGGTTCAACTTCCTCAGAGGGCTTTAGAGGCTGAGCTGGAGCTTCCTGCTGGCCTGGAGAAGGTTCAGTTTCCTCAGAAGAGTTTCTAGGCTGAGCTGGGGCTTACTGCCGGACTGGAGAAGGTTCAACTTCCTCAGAGGGCTTTGTAAGCTGAGGAGTAGCCTCTTGAGGGACTGGAGAATGTTCAGCCTCCTTGGAGGGCTTTGAAGTCTGAGCGGGGGCTTCCTCCTGGACTGAAGAAGGTTCAACTTCCTCAGAGGGCTTCGGAGGCTGAGCTGGAGACTCTTGGGGGAGTGTAGAACGTTCAACCTCCTCAGAGGGCTTTGTAAGCTGTGATGGGACTTCCTCCTGGCCTGGAGAAGGTTCAACTTCCTCAGAGGGCATTGTAGGCTAAGTTGGGGCTTCCTGCTGGACTTGAGAAGGTTCAACCTCCTCAGGGCTTTGATGGCTCAGCTGGAGCTAACTGCTGGACTGAAGAAGGTTCACCTTCCTCAGAGGGCTTTGGAGGCTGAGTTGGGGCTTCCTGCTGGACTGGAGAAGGTTCAACTCCCTCAGAGGAGTTTGTAGGCTGAGGTGGGACTTCCTGCTGGACTGGAGAAGGTTCAGCTTCCTCAGAGGGCTTTGGAAGTTGAGGTGGAGCCTCTTGAGGAACTGGAGAAGTTTCAACCTCCTCAGGGGGCTTTGAAGGATCAGCTGGGGCTTCCTGCTGGACTGAAGAAGTTTCAACTTCCTGAGAGGGATTTGGAGGCTGATCTGGAGCCTCCTCTGGGACTGGAAAAGGTTCAACTTCCTCAGACGGGTTTGGAGGCTGTGGTAGGACTTCCTGCTGGCCTGCAGAATGTTCAGCCTCCTCACAGGGCTTTGATGACTGAGCTGGGGCTTCCTGCTGGACTGAAGAATGTTCAACTTCCTCGGGGGGCTTTGGAGGCTGAGCTGGAGCCTCTTGCAGGACTGGAGAAGGTTCAACCTGCTCAGAGGACTTTGGAGGCTGTGCTAGGACTTCCTTCTGGACTGGAGAAGGTTCAACTTCCTCGTAGGGCTTTGGAGGCTGATGTGGAGCCTCTTGGGGGACTGGAGAAGGTTCAACCTCCTCAGAGGGCTTTGGAGGCTGTGCTAGGACTTCCTGCTGGACTGGAGAAAGTTCAGCCTCCTCAGAGGACTTTGAAGCGTGAGCTGGGGCTTCCTGCTTGACTGAAGAAGGTTCAGCGTCCTGAGAGGGCTTTGGAGGCTGAGCTGGCGCCTCTTGGCGGACTGTAGAAAGTTCAACCTCCTGAGAGGGCTTTGGAGGCTGAGCTGGGGCTTCCTACTGGACTGGAAAAGGTTCAACTTTCTCAGAATGCTTTAGGGGCTGAGCTGGAGTCTCCTGATTGCCTGGAAAAGGTTCAGCTTCCTCAGAGGACTTTGTAGGCTGAGCTGGGGCTTACTGCTGGACTGGAGAAGGTTCAACTTCCTCGGAGGGCTTTAGAGGGTGAGCTGAAGCCTCCTGCTGGCCTGGAGAAGGTTCAGCTTCCTCAGAGGAGTTTGTAGGCTGAGCTGGGGCTTAGTGCTGGACTGGAGAATGTTCAACTTCCTCAGAGGGCTTTCGAAGCTGAGGTGGAGCCCCTTGAGGGACTGCAGAAGGTTCAACCTCCTCAGAGGGCTTTGAAGGCTGAGCTGGGGCTTCCTGCTGGACTGCAGAAGGTTTAACTTCCTCAGAGGGCTTTGGATGTTGAGGTGTTGAGGTGGAGCCTCTTGAGGGTCTGGAGAAGGTTTGACCTCCTCAGAGGGCTTTGAAGGCTGAGCTGGTGCTTCCTGGTGGACTGGAGAAGGTTCAGGATCCTCAGAGGGCTTTGAAAGCTGAGCTGGGGCTTCCTGCTGGACTGCAGAAGGTTCAACTTCCTCAGAGGGCTTTGGATGTTGAGGTGGAGCCTCTTGAGGGACTGGAGAAGGTTCAACCTCCTCAGAGGGTTTTGAAGGCTGAGCTGGGCCTTCCTGGTGGACTGTAGAAGGTTCAACCTCTTCAGAGGGCTTCAGAGGCTGAGCTGGGGCTTCCTCCTGAACTGTAGAAGGTATAACCTCCTCTAGAGGCTTTGGAGTCTGAACTGGGGCTTCCTGCTAGACTGGAGGAGGTTTAGCCTCCTCAGAGGGCTTTAGAGGCTGAGCTGGGGCTTCCTGCTGGAGTGGAGAAGGCGCAACCTCCTCAGAGGGCTCTAGAGGCTGAGCTGGGGTCTCCTGCTGGACTGGAGAAGGTTCAACCTTCCCAGAGGGCTTTGGAGGCCGATGTGGAGCCTGTTGGGGAACTGGAGAAGGTTCAACCTCCTCAGAGGACTTTGGAGGCTGTGCTAGGACTTCCTGCTGGACTGGAGAAGGTTCAGCCCTCTCAGAGGGCTCTAAGGCTGAGCTGGGGCTTCCTGCTGGACTGCAAAAGTTTAACTTTCCCAGAGGGCTTTGGAGGCTGATGTGAAGCCTGTTGGGGGACTGGAGAAGGTTCAACCTGCTCAGAGGGCTTTGGAGGCTGTGCTAGGACTTCCTGCTGGACTGGAGAAGGTTCAGCGCCCCCAGAGGGCTTGAAGGCTGAGCTGGGGCTTCCTGCTGGACTGAAGAAGGTTCAGCTTCCTCAGAGGAGTTTGGAGGCTGAGCTGGGGCTTCCTGCTGGACTAGAGAAGATTCATCTTCCTCAGAGGGCTTTGGAAGTTGAGGTGGAGCATCTTGAGGGACTGGAGAAGTTTCAGCCTCCTCAGAGGGCTTTGAAGGCTGAGCTTGGGCTACCTGCTGGACTGGAGAAGGTTCAACTTCCTCAGAGGGCTTTGGAGGCTGAGTTGGAGCCTCTTGGGGGACTGGAGAAGATACAACCTCCTCAGAAGGATTTGGTGGCTGTGCTAGGACTTCCTGCTGGCCTGGAGAAGGTTCAACCTCTTCAGAGGGCTTCAGAGGCTGAGCTGGGGCTTCCCCCTGAACTGTAGAAGGTATAACCTCCTCTAGAGGCTTTGGAGTCTGAACTGGAGCTTCCTGCTAGACTGGAGGAGGTTAGCCTCCTCAGAGGGCTTTAGAGGCTGAGCTGGGGCTTCCTGCTGGACTGGAGAAGGCTCAACCTCTTCAGAGGGCTCTAGAGGCTGAGCTGGGCCTCCTGCTGGCCTTTAGGCTTAACCTCCTGAGGAGGCTTTGGAGGCTGTCCTGTGGCTTCCTACTGAGTTGGACATAATTGAACCTCCTTAATAGGCTCTGATGTTAGTGTAAGCTCCACATCCACTGGTTTAATTGTGATATTGGGTAAGGTTGAATGATGAGTTTGATTCGGACCTGGAGGTTAAAGAGTCACCTCATGATGCACTGAAGTTTGTGGCATAACTGCCTTAGGTGGCTTTAGAGACTAAGTCTGGGCCTCCTGCTGGGTTGGAGAAGGTTCATTCTCCTCAGGTGCCTCTGGAGTCTGAACTGCGGTCTCCTGCTGTATAGGGAAAGGCTCTCCCTCCTTAGGGAGCTCTGGAAGCTGTATTGGGGCCTCTTGCTGGACTGGAGAAGGTTCTTCAATCTCAGGGGACTCTGGAGGTTCAGCTGGGGTATCCTGCTTGACTGCAAAAGCTTCTATCTCCTCAGGGGACTTTGGAGGCTGAGATGAGTCCCCTTGTTCAACTGAAAGTTTCTCCTCAGGAGGCTCAGGGCCTTCCATGGTAGGTAGAGTAGGATCAAACCCAGGGGGCTCTGGAGGCTGATCCGGGGTCCCTAGGAATTCCAGAAGTAGGTTGTCTGGAGGATACACTATATCCAAACTTGGGTCTACATAATCCTTCACGGGTTGGTCTAGTCGGGTAGGTGTTTTTGCAAATTGGCCTGAAGTTGCAACAACAACTTTAGCAAGTCCTCTACGCTGAGCTAGATCCTTTATCAGGTTTGGGGGTGAAACAATAACCTTAGGTGGTTTCGAACTATGACTATCTAGAGGTGGAACAAGTATTTCAAATGACTGGTGACCTTCAGCCTGATTCATACCTGGAGTTTCCATCTTACTTTTCAGTCGAGGAGGGAGAGCTACCAACCGATTCTGATCCTGATCAAGCATTGGAACCATCTTCGGGAAACTCCGACACCGAGTAAGTTTGTCATTCAGATCCTGATGTGGGTCAGCAAACCGATTCAGCCTAGGAGGCAGCTCTGGAGCCCAATCTGTGCCCAAAGTCTCAGAGAACTCCTGAGGCCGAGCCATCATCTGGGCTGGAGCCGGGGACTCCACATAGTCAAAGTCCCCTGGCTCAGGCAGGGGTGTAAGTGTATGGGGCAGTTCGGATGGGAGATCAGGTGAGGGCAAAGACCAGGGTTCGGTCGGCCCTGGGGAGTCGGAAGTCTGCAGGGCCAGGTCTGGGAACCACTCTGGAAGCGGTGCAGCCTGGACCAGCAGCCATAATGGTTGCAGCGTGAGGAGGAGCTGTGGCGCCCAGAGGCGCAGCGGGGATATGACTTGAGGACGCTACGGGTGCAGCGACCCAGGCCAGTGGGGTACCAGCGCCCTTAGCGGGAGCCGAACCATTGTGACAGCCCGAGACGCACTTGCACCTTTAGTGACTGCGTGCCCCTCCCCCACTGGGAGCCCCCACCCTTTATTTACGACACCTTTGTTTACGCACCACCTTTATTTAGCTAGGTCAGAGACCAGTTCCAAGCCACTATGACAAGCCCTTTTTCCTAGAATTACCAGGGCCCAAGCTTCCTGTCTCCTGCAAGGGTGACAGGATTTCATGTCCCCACTCCCCTCCCTGCCCTCAAGCTCCAGCAGCTTGATCAGCCGCAGGGACAGAGAGCTTCACCAGCCTCTCTGCATAGTTGAAAGTGCTAGCCAGTTTCTGGCAGCCAGACCTCTTCTTCCTCCAAACTGAAATCGAGACATTCTTCCTCGCCTTGGCCGAACTGCCTCCAAGAAGAGGAACTGACATGCAAAATGGACGCTATTTACTGCGCAGCCAAGACGGGAATGAACACCCGTTAAAGTTATTTTACTCTAAAAGGCTGCTATTTCCTCAACTCTCCCTATCCTCTTTGTTCCGAATCTGATTATTAACCCACCACTCTATTAGGTAGTGGGTACCACTAATCAGTGATGACGCCAAACTTTCTGTAGGAGGGGTCTTGAGGAGTGGGCAATTTGGTCTCAGAGAGGATTGAATCCAAGCACCTAGCACTTTACATGGGCGTCGAAAAACTTCCCCATCCCACTTTGACTCAACACGGCCACTAATCCAGAAAAAGTAACAACCCACTTTTCAGAGGTTCACCTGTGTCTATATGGGGAAGGATGTTAAAGTCAGCATGTTAAAGACTTTTCTTGAAATACTATAACCAATACCTGTTTGTTTCTTTTATACCCCTTCTTATAATCTTTTATTTTCTTGTTTATTTTCTAGCGTAACCCCTAGGATGTAAACTCCAAGGTGGGGGAGGAAGGCTTCATCATCTTATTCCCTGTGCCTAGCATATGGCTTGGCACAGAGTAATGGTTTTAAAATTCAACTGATTGCAAGATTGGTCTCATAAGGATGGGTCTTCTGTTTTAATCGGACTTCTGAAATCTTTAGCACCCTTCCTCTTATATTTAGCAGTAAGCTACACTTCTTTTTTCCCTCTAAATTTATTTTATTGTTGAGAATATACACAGCAAAACATAAACCAATCCAACAGTTTCTACATGTACAATTTAGTGACATTAATTACATTCTTCAAGTTGTGAACCATTCTCACCCTCCTATTCTGAGTTATTCAGGGGACATTTTTTGTTCAAGTTTTAAAGATTATCTCAGGGCAATAGTTTCAGGCGTTCATTCAACCTCCATGGCTCCAGAAAGTCTAGAGTCCATGAGAATTTGAAGTTCTGCTCTGCATTTTCCCCCTTTTGATCATGATTCTTCTATGGAACCTTTCATCAAAATGTTCAGTAATGGTAGCCAGGCACCATCCAGTTCTTCTGGTCTCATGGCAAAGGAGGCAGTTGTTCATGGAGGCAATTAGCCACACATTCCATATCCTCCTCCTATTCCTGACTCTCCTTCCTCTGTTGCTCCAGGTGAATAGACAACAGTTGTTGTGCCTTGGATGGCCACTTGCAAGCTGTTAAGACCCCAGGCACTACGCAGTGAACTACGAACTAGGAGGTAGAACAGAAACACTAAACGTGTTATTAGGTGAATTAACTGTGATGAACCATGAAACCATGCCCCTAAACTTCCAAAGCAAAAAACCAAATCCCATGACGTTTTTGGCTGTACATAAGCAGTCTCAGCAGCTACTCTTTTTCTTTTTCTTTTTTGTCATTGTAAATGTACCTCTCACACAACTTTTGCCAAGTCAGCTTTTTACAGGTGTACAACTTATTGACAGCAATTACAAAAATTGGCTGTGCAACCCTACCCTTAATCAGTGCGATTTAGGAAGCTAGACTTCTTAAAACCTGATCTTGGATAAACCTGAAGCTTCCTTCGCTGGGTTTTATTTAATTAAAATAATTATTTTACACAGAAAAACCTTCAAATACTTTTTCAGAAGGGAACGACCTCCTCTTTCTCTACCTTTTTCTCTTCAAAACAAAACACTTTGCAACTTTGGGGTGAGCTAAGTAATCAAACATCTAGCCCCAAAATTAAGTTCCCATTGATCCAGGTTGATGAAACATATCTCTCTGCTCCTAACTTTTTTTATTATTATTATCATTATGTTTAAATAACATATCTTACTTGTAGTAAAGTCTTTTTTAGAAACTACCTTGGCAGCTTAATGCCTAATTTAGGCCATGCTTATAATAGATTTACAAAAAGGTTCTTCAGCAAAACATTTCATTTCATATAAGATATGAGATGCTGAGATCTAGGTAATAAACACCTTACTTGAAAGGCACAGTAGTTTTCAAAAGCTATAGCACAATCACACTTCAGGCCATAGATTCTTTGTTCCCAAATCCCCGGGAGCTTGTTTGAGGGGAGCTCTAAAAGGCCTATGTTCAAGCAGCCTAGCAGCTAGCCTAGCATCATAGGACATCCACTGGCCTAACAGCATGTTTAGTTAGCCTAGCTCTGTTCAGCCAAGCCCTGAAGGGTTAGAATGACCCCTCACCTCTGTCCATGACTGTAGGAGTGCTCTGATGCCTCTCAAGCCTGCTCTCCAAACTTTCGATAAGGGGTCAGAGCCAAGGGCCAGGACGTCAGGGAAAAGCCCTAGGAATTCCTTGCACTCAAAAGCAGTTTCAGAGTTTCATATTCTCCTAAGTACGACAGAGAGCATTCTGGGTATGCCAGAGTCTTCTAAACCCTGCTGGTTGTTTTGAATTATGGCTACACTGGCTACGTAACCCTTGAGCTTTTATCTCCACATACGTGAATTAAATCCTGTAGTTCTTCTTCGGTTCTGGCATCTATGATCTCTTCACTGGGTCTGTACTCCAGAGCTATTTTACCACTTTCTGAAATAAAATTAACAATGATCCATTCAAAATTATTCCTGCCCTAAAACCTCAGGATTGAAGGGGTGTTGGACACAATACAGAAGTGGTGGCAGTATACCTGGAGTTACTACTGAGGAGAGTTCTCAGATTAGAAGGTTAGAGCAGTGAGCAAAGGGCTAGGGCAAGAACAGGCGGCAAGGTCAGTAGGAAGGATCAAGAAGGCAATCAGGGAAGGCTTATGAAGACATACAATTATAAAACGAAAGGTTTAGGGTATCTAAACCTCACTCGCATATGCAGAGGAATGGAAACAGTCCTTCAATAAGGAAAGGTGTTTGAATTGAGGCACATAATGAGAGAGTTCTGGGCCTCAGGGAAAGTAAAATTGGTTGGTACCTTAGTAGGAATAGGGTTTCTACAATGCATTAAAATACCTTTTGCCCGTCGTCTGGGAACTAAATGGAGTTCTGAATAGGCAGTTTGATAGTGATGATGATGATAAAGCATCCTTTATGTTACAACTGGCAAGTGTCAAGCTCATCCATTTAAAAGCCACATAAAAGTAAACCTAAGCAGGATTCTTCTTTGGAAGTTTTTAAATTTAGGGGCAGCACAGAATGACATGATATTTAGCATCAGTCAGAATTGGCTTGACAGTAATGGCTACATTTGGGTTTGACCTCTCGTTCCAAAAATTATTGTCTTGCACCTTAAGCAAGTCACTTAACCACCCTGAGTTCCTGCATCTAAAAAATGGGGGATCAGTGTGGCAACGCATCTGAAAGCATTCTGTAAACCAAGGTGCAGTGCAAATATTGTTGTTGTTAGGTGCCATGGAATCGGTTCCGACTCTGAGCGACCCCATGTACAACAGACTGAAATACTGCCCACTCCTGCACCATCCTTATAGCAGTTGCTATGTTTGAGCCCACTGTTGAAGCCACTGTGTCAGTTCATCTTGTTGAGGGTCTTCCTCTTTTTCACTGACCCTCCATTTTAGCAAGCATGATGTCCTTCTTCAGGGATTGGTCCCTCCTGATAACGTGTCCAAAGTAAGTGAGAACAAGTCTGGCCAGCCTCGCTTCTAAGGAGCCTGCTGGCAATGCAAATGCTAGCCTACTGTTACTGAATTCAGCATTTCATTCCAGTGGAGCTAGAAGTCCATGTTTAGACCCACCTTCACTGGAGATTACTGAAAACGCTGCTTCCGGCCACATGCCTTTTGGGTTCTGTGAGCATCCCTTACTGAATAAAACTTGATGATGGCATAGAAGCCAGGACGGGCCACTGCAGTGTTTGGGAAGACACGCACTGAATACAGAAGGCCAAACTTGGAGAATACTGTGAACAAAGAATGTCGTGGGGAGGTCTAATTTAGGAAATAATACTGGAGTTATTATTCCCTCTCCTTGAGCATAGAGAATGTGACCCAGCAGGAGCTGGGCTTACAAGGACTCACAAGGACACATCAATTGGGCCCTGAGGTATAAAGACAGTAGCTAAGATAATCTTGGAAAATATCTTTTAGGGAAACTTTCCCATAAAGCCAATCAAAGAGAACACAAAAGACTTTCCACTCTTACCTTTTTCTATTAGCATTTAGTGAATAGAAATTTGTTGGACCGATGAAGACCCTCCTGTCGTTACTGAAACTTGTACCAATGATTGTTAAAAAGGACAATTCAAAATGTAGGGTCAGTTTCTAGCGAATCTGAAAAGGCTAAGCTTTCAATGGTTTTACACATTTGTAATGTTAATATATACTGATGATTCTGTAATGGTCTTTGGACTCCGGCAGACATGGTTGTGGCAGCATGCTTGTCCGTTTTCCCACTCTTGCCTATTCTGTAATATTCTTTGGACTTGGGCAGACATGGCTCTGGCAGCATGGTTGTCCGGTTCCCACTTTGGCCTTTTTGAATATATGCCGAATAAAACTTTTTTTTGCTTTACTAAACTTGGTGATGTTCTTCCCGTACAACGAGTCCCACGCCAAGTAAGCGCGTGAAAACAAAACTACATAGCCCTTATGTTCCCCAAGCCCTTCCCCACGAGGGGTACAACTCAAAAGACTTCTCATTTCATGAACAAGTTTTCCTCTTCGATTCTACAATCTGAGCAGCATTAGAAGGCAACATGTGCCGGTTGTTGACAGTTACGTCTCTGGGTCTGTAAAAGCTGTTGGGGCCAGGTGACTGCTGGAGTCCGCTCTACAACTAATATTTCTGTTCCTTTGCTGTCATTGCAGTCCGAAATTAGGGGAGAAGACAAGGCGGGTGAGGAAAGGGGTGTAGCACAGTGTGGGTGAGGTGGTAACTCAGGACTTCACGGCTCCCAATCACCACGTGGACAGCTTTCCCCATCCCTCCCTCCACCGGGCCCCGGCTCACATGCATGTCTTCGGCCGCTGGCCCAGAACTCAGATCCCACACCACCAGGGTTTTGTCACTTTCGTGGGAACTGCAAACAGCCAACAACACCGCCATCCTACAGCCACTGCGCTTGCGCGGCTAAGACTCAAGTACCACCGCGCCTGCGCAAGATGCGCCCGCGAATTTTTTGAAGGGAGAGCCCGCGCGGCGTGGGCCGGTTCTGTGCGGGCGGGACGTGGTAGTTATTGCAGAGCGTGGGTGGCCGCGGCCCCTCCCTCGTCCCGCCCACCCCAGGCCGGTCTCCGCATCTAGTTCCCCTCCAGCCCAACAGCCCCAGTCTCACGGTTTAGAGCCGGAATTAAAGTGTGTTTTTAGGGTAGCGTTTTAAGGGTAGCTTACAGGATCAAAGGATACAGACCTCTTTTTAGCTGTGGTCTTTATCTTTACTCCTAGAGAAGGGGACTAGAGAATTAGGTAGAAATACTTACTGAGCTTTAAAAAGATTTCCAGAAGCTAGATCAGAAATGACCACTAAAGATGCAATCCTTTAAGAGTGCTTTCAGGAGTTTAAAATATGCAAATCAAGGTATAACTCACTGTCTTAATTATCTAGTGCTGCTGTAATAGAAATACCACAAGTGGGTGGCTTTAACAAAGGGAAATTTATTCTCTCACAGTTTGGGAGGCTAGAAGTCAAATTCAAGGCGCCTGCTCTAGGGGAAGGCTTTCTCCTTCTGTCAGCTCTAGGGGCAAGTCCTTGTCATCAATCTTCCCCTGGTCGAGGGGCTTCTCAGTGCAGAGACCCTGGGTCCAAAGTACACACTCCTCTCCTAGTTCTTCATTCTTGGTGGTAGGAGGTCCCTCTCCTCTCTGCTGCTTCTCTCTTTTGTACCTCAAGAGATTGACTCAAAATACAGCCTACTGGTAGATTGAGTCCGGTCTCATTAACATAACTGTCTCTAATCCTGCCTCATTAACATCATAGAGGTTAGGATTTACAACATGTAGGATAATCACATCAGATCACAAAACAGAGAACAACCACACAATGCTGGGAATCGTGGCCTAGCCAAGTTGACAGACATTTTTGGGGGCCACAATTCAATCCATAACACTCACTAAGCCGCTAACATTTTAGTATGAAATCCTTTTAAAAGAATTCCGAGAGTCCTACATGATTCTGGTAAATTGTGTACGTATGTTTGTGGGGGGAGGTGAGTGGGGAGAGGAGGAAAGATAAATTTGGAAAATCTAAGAGTGGGTCCAAGTAGGGCCCCAAAATTGGAAATGGTGATGCCTGAGAAGGGGTGTTCTAGGCATTTTAAGAGTCAGATATTTGCCAGAGTAACAGAGAGGTAAAGTAGGTCCCAAAACTCTTATTTTAATCCTAGAATGTCTGAGTCAGAAGAGACAGTGTAAAACATGCCTCATGTGGTTTCCCAAATACTGGTCCTCAAACCTGTGTTGGCCTGTGAGGAAGTTTTCAGGTTTTCGCAAAATGAGAAAAGGATAATATAATCACGTTTTTTGTTTATTTAATTTCATAAAGCAAAAGCTACTGACTCCATTTTATTGCTGTAAGATTATAACTGCTGTACAATTTTGGAGATAAGAATTGTTTTATGAAGAGATGCTGATAAATAGATGGTAGTTATTTTGATTAATAATCCTACTTGAGCATTAAAATAAAAAGTTGGAAATCTTATCACAGTCTTAAATTTTTGATTGATGGTTCTCTGGTCTGTGAAATCCAAAAGTTTGGAAACTACTGAGGAGTCAAATCTCTCATTTTATCGGTGAAACAGCTGAGGCCCGGAGGTAACACCCCAGTTTGGTCTGACACTACTGACGGTGGATATGAGCAGGACAATCCTCCACCTGCTCCTTTTCTGCCTTTGCCTTGTCCTTAAGCAGGTTCCTCTCCACCTCAGCGCCCTCCAAGCAAACTGGTTTCTATCCAAAGAAGCCATCTTTAAAAACCTAGCTTCTAGTCCATTCTCCCAAAGCACCCCAACATCATTGGCACCTGGCACCATTTCCACATCCCATCACTACACCAGACCCTCAGCCCCACCCATTACCTACTTCTCAACTTTCTCTTTTACTTCTAGAACAGGTGACTTTGGGGGAATTACTCGGATACTGATACTGTATCAAACTAATAATTGTAGATTTTATTATCCATTGTAATTATTTGTGTGTGTCTCTGCTTCTCCTCCTAGATTATGAACACCTGGAGAGCAATAGTTGTGTTTGGTCTTGCACACTCCTAGTGTACTAGGCACTCAAATACACATGGAATTAATGAATAAATTAATACATTCTTTCCATAGGGAATACTTTAATAATTTTAAAAATATAGAAGCTTCTTCACTGTGGTCCTCTGAGTTTGCAAATGACAATCAGGAACCAGGCGCCTGGGCCCTGGATGGGAACAAGGAGGAAGCCTGAGGGAACCATTTATGCCTGGGGCTCTGGTCAGTATTAATTGTAAATGGGGAGGGAAGAAAATTACATAAAGTGGAGGCAAGAGGAAGAAGAAATCAAGAATTCCCAGGTGAGGGCAGCAGTTCTGGAATAACTTCACAGTAAGCCTGCACCCTGGCTCATGCCAGTCGACATCCTGTCATCCAGTAGGAGAGTGGCCGGCCTGAACAGTGCAGCTTCCATTCTATCCTGTGGAGAAAAAAGATATGGTTCTTGCTTTCCCATTTAGTAGTTTCTTCTCCACACACATGACACAGCTCTTGGTGAGTCTTCCATGCAGAGAAACACCCAGAATTCCCTTCATTCCTAGTTCTCTGGGTTGTCCTTTAGTGGTCCCTCTGGTTCTTCCTTTAAACATCCCTCATCCCTGGTGTTTGTCCTCTTCCCCATTCAGTATGTTTCCACATTTTCAAATCCTCATCTTCCTCTGAAGGGGGAGAGTACTGTTTTAGAGGGCCAAGTGTGACTGAAAAAAAAAAATCCCATTGAGTCTCCTTTCAGACAGGATAAGCCCTACTGATCATCAATATTCCTTCATTTGTGAGGTGTTTCAGAGTAGGCAAGACATTTAACTCCTTCCATCCTCACAGTCACCTGTTAGAGGCAGCCAGAGCAGATTTGTATATCCAGCCTGAAGCTCAGGAAAGTTGGGTGACCATCCCATCCCAATGTCCACCATCTGTGAGTTGACAGCTTTGGAGGTGTCTGCCCAGCTGATGAGTAGTACATCATTTTATGGAAAATGTTGCTCTCAGTTATGAAGAGAGGGCCCCTGTGGTAGTCATGATTGTGTTGCCTAACCTCTCCCATGGCTACAGCTGGACCAAAGGGAAACACCTGATCCAAACTGAACCAATCAGATTCTCTATCCCAGGAACTTGGATTGGTTCTGAGCCTAGCTGTCTATGGGTGCCTAGAACTTTAGCCTATAAACTTGGGGCAGGCTTAGTCTGTTCTGTGCACCGAGCAGCAGAGAAACTGGTCTGCAGAGAGAGAGTAGTGAGCAAAAGTACCAGGAGAAGCAGAAACCTGCCACTGAAAACTTGCTGACAGTTTCCAGTCCTGGTTCCATTCTCTTCCTGAGGCCCAGCTGCACCCCTGTGGGTAGGCTCAGTGAGACACCCTGTTCTCACAGAATAAATTTCTCTCAGTTAACTCAAGTTGTTTTCTGTTAGTGCAACCAAGAGTTTTGCTAATACCCTGTTAGGGAAAGAACCAGATCCCAAGTCTTCTAACTCAGACTTCCAAGCGCTTCCACTATACCACATTCATCTAGACTGCTGAAGGGGAGAGCCCACAGGTCCTTGCCCCTTTCTCTATCACATCCACCATTCTTAGGGGGCTCTGCCAGTTAACTCAGTCCCAGTGTTCTCCTCACCAGTTGTTCAAACCCCCTCCTCCGGATACGATCTTTTTCACACAGTTGACGGTTGAGAGAAGGTCAGGGTTCAGCAGTTCTGAAGGGAGGAAGAGAATACCTGTAAGCGCACAGAGGACAATCCCAAAGACTGAGGTAGAAACTGGCCCTCCCTAATAGGCATGTGCTGCCCAGAGACCTAGTATTTCTAGATTAGGCAAGGCCTCCCTTCCAGGGGTCCATTTAGACATCCCTACAATGGCTGCTGGAGGTCAGGGTTGGGGCGGGGGAAGGGCGCAGGAGGACTGAGATTTGGGCCTGTTCACTACCATACTTCCTAACCAGAACAAACAGTGTTTCACCCAAAGTTTCGAGGGAGAGGAAATACCAAAACAGGCAGCACAGGAGCTAAGGTGAAGTCCTGCCTGATGAGGGGGGCTCTCCAAGTGAGGAGCCCAGGGATATTAAGCAGAGTATGAAGGAGGAAGTGAGGGGCAGAGTCATGGACCCTGTTGAGCCTCCTGGATCACCTCAGAGGTGGGGAGTTTACACTTCGCCATTAGCCAAAGGCAGTATTACTTAGTGGCTGGAGGTGATGCTGCAAGGCCACCAGTCTAGCATTTAGTACTGGTTCTCTCTATACGCCTCAGTTTGCTCATCTGTAAAGTGGGAATCATAGTTGTTTCCACTAATGGAGAGTTGACAGGATGAAATCAGCTGCGCATAGTACCATAATAAGCTCTCGGTAAGTGTTGGCTGCTGCCACTGCTCTACTACTACTGGCCGTGCAGAGCTTGAGGACCTGCAGAATCTCCTAACTGGATGGACATTAGGGCCACTAGTCTAACTCTCTGTTCGGTAAAGGGATTCCCGGATTCCTTGGATCACCTTTCTGGGGCATTCCCTGGCTATGGTGAGAAGTCCTGTGAGTAGAACCTAGTCTCCCCTCTCCCACCCTGGGGCCCTGGCCAGACCTATACAGTCCGTGTGGCAAAGGTTTTCTGAGTGACTCAGATAATCATTGCACCAGTAGTGGCTGTTGATCTGGAAGATGCCATAGTCAAAGCTGCCGTCTGCATTTTCTTTTATCTTTGATGCGTTGAACTTGCTTTCCACAAAAGCCAGGCACAACCCTTAGGTCAGGGAGAAGAGGGTCAGGATTTAGAGACAAGGCATCAAAAGAAAGGAGCCAGGCCCAAGAGGCTAGATGGGGCTAGAGGGCTAGAAAGAAATACCCATTGGCCTCTCTTCCCATCCTTCCACCTGTCCACCCACCCATTAATACATCTCACCTATCCATCCAGCCATCCATTCACCCATCCATCAAGACAACTACTTATCCATCCATCCATCCATCCATCCGTCCATCCTTTCTTCACTTAATAAGCGCGTACTCTGTGCCAGGAAGGGTATAAAGCCCTGTGAGGAACATATAGATGGGTCAAACACAAATGCTGCCTTCATGGGCCTGTAGTACAAGAAGATGATACACCTAAAAACCATAAAGCAAGGTAGAAGAAGAAAATGACACAAGGCATGTATGCACAAATTCTGGGCCAAGTGCAAGAGAGAAATCTCTTCCATGGAGGATGAAGCTTTTGCATTGGCTGTTCCCTCTGCCTGGAATGCTATTCCACCAGACATTTGAGTGGCCGAGTCCCTCACTTCATTTAGCACTGTTCAAAGTCCCCTCCTCAGAGAGGCCTTCCCTTCTCTGTCTAGAACAGCGTTGCCTAACCCTCCGCCTACTTTATTCTTCATAGTGTTTATCACCAGATAACACTACATATAGTTGTGTGTTTGTTTATTGCTGGTCTCCTCTTCTAGAATGTGAGTATTATGAGGGAAGGAGGAACTTTGTACATCTCTATATCCCAAGTGCCTAAAACAGTTCCTGGCACATAATCAGTGCTCAGTTAATAACTGCTGAATGAGTGTTGGGAAAGGCTTTTTGGAAAGGGTTGTTTTTGAAACTTGGTTTTGGAAGATGGATGGGAGAGAAAGAGAACGGTGGCCATGTAGGGCGTGACTAGGAGAGAAGAAATGGGCAGGAGGGCTGAGGAAATGGTACTCACAGGCACTCAAGGGGTAGCCCTCAAACCCATGCAAGTCCTCTTTATGAAGCAACTTGGCTACGTCACAGCGGTGCATTATTATGGCCTGATTTACGGCAAGGAGACAGCTAACCAAGGAGATGAGTAGCGCCCTCATCATCCTTGGAGGGGAAAGGTGCCGTTGAGGGTCTGCCATTCTTAGGGTCTCATAGACTTCCTGCTGGTGTTCTCTGAGGGCCTGAAAAATCAGGATAGAGTGGTCAAATAGCCTCGCTTACTCACTGCTCCCCACTGGGCTGTTTCCAGACTCTTTCTTCTCATTGTTTTAAAATAATGAGAATTAGTAATAATGAAAATAATTATTTTAAAATAAAATGTTAGTTTCTAAAGATTTTTTTAAATTATGGGACATTGTAAACATTTACAAAAGGAGAGAAAATAGTATCTTGAATCCCCATGTAGCCACTGCCCAGCTTCAAGTATCTGTAGTTCCCCATCCTTCTTTTGGCTATTATCACTCTTTTAATGGGCACTCAGCTACGGGCAACACTTGGGTACTGGGGTGGGGAGTAAGGCTGGCAGAGAAGATTAATGAGGACTATGCTTTACCAGCATTTGTGTGTGTATCTGAGCATGTGCTTACACAGGAAGGGCCAGGATACTGGGTGCTAATCTCCCCCCCGCTGTGTGACTTGGGCAATGTACTTAATCTCTCTGTTCTTGATTTGTAAAATGAAGACATGCTAATATATACTTAACAGGGTTGTTGTGATGATTACATGAAATAATAAATGCCCAGACCTTGGTTTCTAAATAATATTTCCCACAAAAAGGAACCAGGACTCTTTGGAAAATGGCTGATTCCCTGGATCAAGCAGGAAAAGGTATGCGAAAAGCCTGGATTATCTTGCTGTGCCACAAAGCAAGGAAGTACTCAAAATAACTATGGAGGCGTGTCAAATGGACACAAAAGCCAGCTCAAAGGGGCACCCATTGGCCAAATCTGGAAGAATTTTTTATTTGGTAACAGCTTTATTGAGATATAATTCATATACCATACAATTCACCCATTTAAAGTTTTTAGTATATTCACAAAGTTGTGCAACTATCACATAATCAATTTTTGAACATTTTCATCGCCCCAAAAAGAAACCCTGTACCTGTTAACAGTTACTCCCCATCTCCCTCTACCCCAAGCCCTAGGCAACCACTAATCTACTTTCTGTCTCTGTGGATTTGCCTATTCAGGACATTTCATATAAATGGAATCTTAAAATATGTGGCCTTTTGCATCTGGCTTCTTTCATTTAGTATAATGTTATCAAGGTAAGGTTCACCAGTGTTGTAGCATGTATCAGTACTTTATTTCTTTTTGTTGTTGAATAATATTCCATTATATGAATATACCACAATTTATTTATCCATTCATCAGTTGATGGACATTTGGGTTGTTTCTACCTTTTGGCTATTATGAATAATACTGATAATACTGAGGTGAACATTCATGTGCAAGTTTTTATAGGGACACATGGTTTAACTTCTTTTGGGTATATGCCTAGGAGTGGAATTCCTGGGTTATATGGTAATTCTATGTTTAACTTTTTGAGGAACTGCCACACTGTTTTCCAAAGTGGCTGTACCATTTTACATTTCTACCAACAATTTATGAGGGTTCCAGTTTCTCCACATCCTTGTCTTTTTAATTATAGCTATCTTAGTGAGTGTGAAGTGGTATCTCACTGTGGTTTTGATTTGCGTTTCCCTGATGGCTAATAATGTTGATCATCTTTTCGTGTGCCTATTGGCCATTTATATCTTTTTTTGGAGAAATGTTGATGCAGATTCTTTACCCATTTTTAATTGGGTTATTCATCCTTTTATTAGTGAGTTGTAATAGTTCTTAATATATTCTAGATACAAGTCCCTTAGATATATGATTTGCAAAATTTTTCTCCCATTCTTTGGGTTGTCCTTTCACTTTCTTGATGGTGTCCTTTGAAGCACAAAAGTTTTTAATTTTGATGATGTCCAATTTATCTATTTTTGTTGCTGTTGTCTACACTTTTGGTGTCATATCTAAGAAACCATTGCCGAATGGTTTCTAAGATAATCTGGGCCAGTTTGATCATCAAAATAAATGATAGTAGCAGATTGTAATCACTGAGTAAAATAGGAATCTATAAGCCCATAATAATAGTAAAAAGACAAATAGATAACATATGGGGGTGAAGAGAAGGCTCTTCCTGACAGTAAGATGCTGACTGATAAATTTGGAGGCCATCATGGAGTTGGAAAATCACCATTGAGCAACCACCATAGTTCCAGCAAGAATCATCAATGGATGCTAAATTAAGGTGGTGGTAAGCTTGATGAGGAACTTAAAGTGTCTCCCCACAGATTGCTTATCAGTTGCATGTAGGAAAAACAGTAACTATACAGTGGAGAAACCAGACAGCACTTTGACCTTGTGATAAAAATTAACATCACTAATGAGGGACAAAGGACATTGTGTGCCTCCAGATGGATACCCTGAGAAAGACACAGCATCACTTATATAGTATTCTGGCCCAGGATGCATAACCTGTATCTAATCCTAAGGAAACATCAGACAAATCCAAACTGAGGAAAAATCTATAAAATAACTGGCCGCTCAGAGTCCCCAGGTAGTTCAAACAGTTAACATGCTCAGCTGCTAACGGAAAGGTCAGGGATTCGAGGCCACCCAGAGGTGCCTCAAAAGAAAGGCCTGGCAATCTACTTCTGAAAGATGAGCCACGGAGAACCCTGTGGAGCACAGTTCTACTCTGACACACATGGGGTCACCATGAGTAGGAGTCAACTCAGTGGCAACTGGTTTGGTTGATTATTCTTCAAACAGTCAATGCCATGAAAACAATGAGTGGGGCTATTTCTGTCACTCTGTGTGTGTGTGCGTGTGTGCATGTGTTCACTCGTGCGTGCATGCATTTCCCCTTAAACTGAGTTGTATGTTCCTGAGGGCAAAGGTCAAGGCTCCTTCATCCACCAGCTTCAGGTGTCAGGCCAGCTTTTGCTTGGACAAGATGGCTGCCCTAGTAGCCCTGTTTCCTCACAGATCTTCTGTGCTGCCTTCTAAGAGTCACTCCACCCTAGCCTGAGCTTGGGGCCATTCTTTTCGTCTTCTCTCTCCTTCCCTAGGGTTGCCAGATTTAGCAAACAAAATTACTGGATGCTCAATTAAATTAGAATTGCAGATAAACAACAAGTAATTTTTTAGTATAAGTATGGCCCATGCAATATTTTTTCTGGCAATCCTATGCTACCCAGACCCCGTAAGTTCCCTCAAAGATAGGTGTCACTGAGCCTTGGGAATCAGAAAGCTCCATCTGTGCCATAAAGCCCCTTCTTGGGGTCCCCTTGGGGAAGACAGACCAAGGCAGTGGTTCCAGCAGGTGCATTCCCACCTCTCGCACAAAACCTTACCTCTCTCCCATCCCTCTCTGACCCAGGCCTCAGCCAGCCCAGGGCTTTCTGTGAGGATCTGTAGAGCAAGGCCGTTTGAGACGGGAACCACCTCTTCTTCACAAACTATATCCCGCTGCCTCTCAGCTCACAGCTCTCCATGTTCTAAGAAAGGCAGGAGTGCTGGGCCATCTCAGCCTTCTGGAACCTAGTCTCTATGATGTCATCACTTGCATGGGAATACACTGTCTTAACCATGCAAATTGGCTCAGGCTTGAGGCTTATGCAAGCTACAGTCAAAATGGCAGACGGGTCTGGGAGGATGGGGACAACTGTGATGAAGACCTCTGGGTGTAACAGGGTAGAGAGTACTGGTTATTCTGTCTGCCTACCCCCCTTCCCTTCTGGGAACACTGCCATCTTTGTGAGAACTCCTTCCTCTCACCCCACACTCCCACCATGGGGTTCTAATGGTGGCTGCCAGTCACAGAGCCCTGCCCCACCAGGCAACAGGGTGTGCCTATGCCCCATCAGCCTATTTTGAATTGGAACCAAGTGCATCATCTCAGCTTCTTATGGGAGGCCTGTGGGTGTGGGACCAGAGGCTGACAGTTTTAAGTCATGTGGATACAGCCCATCTGAGAGGATAAAACTCCAAGAAGACAGAGCAGAGTCCAGGCCGGATTCCAGTCCCAGAGGTCACTCTTCCTGGGAACCAAATATACCCTTATACTTCCTGCACTTCTGTGATTCAATAAATGCCCCTTCTCACATAAACAAGATTGAGTTGGGTTTCTGTTATTTGCAACCACAACAGTCCTGCCTATTATAGTCGGTGTCAATCTGTGGAATGGCTAGCCTAACAACCCGTCACCTCCCCATGAAGGTCAGAACATCTCAGTATCATTAGCCACCAAGGAAGTCTGGAAGAAGTTTCCACCAACTGTAGCAAAGAGGAGGCAAGAGAGAGAATGTTTAGTCACTGGTGGCCAGTCTACCCTCTGAGATGGAATGGCAGGGTCTGACAGAAAGTAGGAAGAGGCTTTCTAAGTGAGCAGTGCTTTCTGTACCCTCCACCTCTTCTGTACTTATCCTCCCACAGGGCAGCAGCACACTGCATCTTGGGATATAAAGCCAGTGGCAGCAGGGGTGGAGGTAGAACCCTGGAGTAGGGCATTCTGGGGGCATCACTTTATGAGGTACCACTTGGGGCCAATAAACTACAGGTGCCTCAGATGACCCAGAATAAACTCATCTCTGCAGAGTTAGAGTTCCAGGCAGGAAAAGCTCCCTCATCCAAGACCTGTTTCCAAACAGGGTCATATTTACAGGTACAGGAGTTAGGACTTCAGCATAACTTTTGGGGGGATAAGTTCAATCCAGAACAGCTGTTAAATAAAATATGTTCTATCATCATACCTTGACAAATATTCCTTTAAAAGGATAAAATTAAAAAATATGTATGCTGAATACAATCAAACACTTTGAGGGACAGAGTAGCAGGGGTAGGGGTCTGGAGACCATGCTTTGAGGGGACATCTAGGTCAACTGGCATAACAAAGTTTACTAAGAAAATGTTCTGCATCCTACTTTGGTGAGTGGCGTCTGGGGTCTTAAAAGCTTGCAAGCGGCCATCTAAGATGCATCAGTCAGTCCCAACCACCTGGAGTAAAGGAGAATGAAGAACACCAAAGACACAAGGAAAGTATTAGCCCAAGA